TAAAAAGAACTTTAAAAAATCTTTGTAAATTGTGTGTATATGTCTGTGTGTGTCTGTGTCTGCAAGTACGCACACACACATGCCTGCTTCCCTACCTATGCAGGGCACGTGTGTAGATTCAGAGAAGTATAGAAGTCAGTTCTCTCCTTCCACCAGCTATCTCAAACATGTCTTCTGGCAGCTAGTTGGTTGGACTGGGTGGGAAATGTGCACAGTACATTTATTTGAGTTACTCCTTAGTCTCTTGCTCTGGAACAGTCCCTCCTCCTTAAGATTTCAGCATCATTATGGAAGAAGTGGGGTCCTTTAAAGGTTGCATCTCAGCTCACCTGTAGCTGGCACAGCTGCTCCCTTTTGTTTCCCTGTAAGCTGGAAAATAGCCTGAAAGTCTGAGCAGATTCAGGTTCAGCTTCGAGGCAAGAGTGTAACCAGTGGTGCTCATCATTTGTTCTTGGTTTATCTGATTTCTTTAGATTCTCATGTATTACTCAGAATTCTTGTAAGGAAAATATTTCCTTTGCTATTAGAGCAATTGCTCATCCTGAAATATAGTTTTAAAAGGAAAGGCAGCATGCGTGGCTAATTCTTTTTCCTTCATTACCAATTTGGGAGTTGCAACTTAGTTACTTCCAACTTGATAGGCTTAAGTTTCTTGCTTATTTTCCCTTTCCTTTTTCCTGTTACTATAAACTCTGGGTTTTATTACTCTGTGTGTTTTAGTTGACTTCAACTGTTTATCTTTGGTGAGTATGAACTCTGCTTAGTGTCTCCCTTGTTGGGATTTGCTGCACAGTAAACTAAATCTACTGATTGGCTTTGACCTAGTAGAATTTCTTGGATGAATCCACAATGATACCTACTTAGAGCAGAACATACAGAAACTTACTTCATTAGTATCCATCTGTCTGGGCAGCAAGTTTTTCCATGTTTGAAACAGAAGCTTTTGGACAGATGCCTAAGTCCTTTTCCTGTTTTATTTGGTTTGGTGTTCCACAGGCCAGGGTCAAGCCCCATCGGACTTTCAGATTTAATGAATGTGTCTGCACTCCCTACAATGCGGACTTCGATGGTGATGAAATGAACCTTCATCTTCCTCAGACGGAGGAAGCCAAAGCAGAAGCCCTTGTTCTCATGGGGGTAGGTGGGGGGGGCATGGCCCAGTGGGGAGAAGGGAGCAGCCCCCACATGAAAACAACAGGGCAAGAAGCTGTGCCGAAGAAGCCAGGCTGTGTGTTCTTGCACATGCCACTGTGTTGGTGCTGTTTCATCTCGTTTTCTCATTGGTCTACTGTGAACCTTCAAACAGTCTTGAAAATAGTAGCATATAATTGAGTTAGTAACAGGTGCTCTTTAGGGCATAATGGCATTTTTCTGATGTATTCTCTGGATTCTTGGGAAAAAGTGTGTTAGTGAGGAACAGCTATGAAAATCAAAAACTAAACAGCCAGGGATAGTGGCAGAAGCCTATAATCCCAGCACTCAGGAACCTGAAGGTGGGAGAATTGCCATGAGTTCAAGGCCAGCCTGGTGTACAGAGTAAGGCCCAGCTCACTAGAGGTAGAGACAAGAAGATTATGAGTTCAGGGTTAGCCTGGGCTATATGATAAGGTCTCAGAGGAAAAAAATGCACATCAACCCCAATACTGAGTGCCATGGAGAAGATGCCCTGCATGAGAGAACTTGCCAGTAGCTGCAGATCTTTAAGTGCAAGTATGTTCCATTGGCTATTCTGAGTGGAAACTTTCCTAAAGCATATCACATGCTGCTTTGCCCTCTTAAAGGACACTAAGCCAATTCACTGTTAAAGAGAACCTCTTGCAAACTGCAGTGGTTCTGTGACAGGGAGGCTTAGGCCTGCTTTTGGCTTCT